GATTTAGAAAATCTTTTCAGGACCCCACCTTGATGTTTCAGGACCCCACTTTGGGTCCCGACCCCAACTTTGGGAACCACTGTCGTAGGTTCTACATGTTTAAATCAAATGTTTTGTCAAAAAAGCTTCTAAAGATCGTGCCTAAAAAAATGCTAGTCAAGCTGAGTCTTAAGGGTAAACATCTTGGTGTAATTAACTGAATGTATGAAAGGTTAATAAATTGCAGGCATTTTCTGACTCGGAGCAAAATATTTGTTGGAGGCTGAAGAGGCAAGACTGTGTTGTAAGGTTGCTGTAATCATCAGGGACAAAAATGCTGCAATTATTAACTAAAAGAACAACTTAAAATTCAGCGAAATTGAAGGAACTCTTAAATTTATTAATGCTTGTTAATATCAGTATTTTTGGTCTAGGTCAGACTTGATCTTTAAAGCATGACAATTCTGTTTCTATTCTCTTTTATTTGCAATATAAAATGTTTGAAACAGAAACCATCACTGAATTAGTTTTGAGCAGGGAGACCTTAGTTTGGACACTGTGAAAAGAAGGAAATATACTAATTATTGATATGGTATATAATAGAAAACCCATTGATTATCAGTGAAGTTGTGAGAAATAGTCCTTATAAACTATTGAAACTAGACGATGTCAGTACTTTTAACAGTTTAAATATTTCTCTAAGAGCTTCAGGAATTTTAATGAAAAAAAGTTTATTTTATTTATTTTTTTTATTCCCCCCCCATAAGCACTTTTTAAAGAAAATCCCCAGACCAAAGTATGAAACAGCAGACATTTAACTTTGGCTCCATAGTGGTTCTTTGTATTTCTGGTAATTCTGAACTATAAAAATAGATGATACTTAATATCATCACCTAATTTCTTGAGTATCCTTTACACGTTTCTATAATCCCACTGAAACCATCTAGAAGAGAAATGTCAAACTCAATTACACAGGAGGACAAAATTAAAACCTTATTCCTCTCATTGAGAGCCAGTTTCAGTCGATGTTTATTGGAAAAGATATAAATTGACCTTGGTTATCAAATGTAATATACCAAATTATTCATTTGGAAATTTCAGTTCCTTTTTCCCCCAGACATATTAGATAGAATTTAATGCATGTCTTATTGATTTAAATACTAAAAAAAAGAGTGAATTAAAACTAAAACATGTCTTTTTTTTTTTACTTTTTATTAGCAGTTCCATTTACTTGTTTCTTAGTCATATTTGATCCAGTCCATCAAATTATCTAAGTAAATTATTTCTCACAGGAAATCCAATCATGCAGTTATTAACTTTCTATTTTGAAAAAAAAAAAAAGGTAAATACAGAAACAAGAAAAAGTACATTAAAGCAGAATATCTGTTGCTCTGATGAACATTAACTCTTTTGTTGGCTGTAACATCAGTAAAACGTGATTAGTCTCAGATTAATGGCCCAGTTTTAAAATATGTCAAATTTAGCATTCCAGCTAAAACTGTAACAAGGGTCATATGTGGCCCATGGGTCTTGAGTTTGACATGTGCTCCATTATAAATAATAAACAAATCCAAACTGCACATTAGCTGAACTGACAGAACAGCTGGTATTTTCTCTCTTTGTTTAATCAATCTGCTGTGTGTCTATTATAAATGTGCCTTCGTTTTCTGTTAAAGAAGTTTAAAACTAAAATGAAAACTAGACTTACAGAGATAGCTCATTACTTATCTGTCACCGACCTCAGAGTCGGGCATGCTGGTGGCAATGGGACTCTGGAGGCGGCCGGGCAGGAATTGCGTAAAATGTGAAGGAAGCAAACGCAGGCTGAGGCGCAAATTTTGGATTTTTTTTTTCCCAGTAGATCCTTCACCTGGAATTTTCAGCCACGCTTTGACATCAATTATACTTGCTTGCAGAAACAGGCAGGAGTAAATGTGGACACCCAGTTGTGTAATTGGACTAAAAGTTTTTTTTTTTCAAAGGATATTAGCCAAAGTCTGTGCAGTTTACCTCCATGCATTATAGAAAATGGATGTTTTTATTACTTTGACAAACTTTCTGCACAGGATGGAATTTACAGCTGCTTTTGTGATTCATGAAGCATGCTTGCTAGTTGACCAAAATCAAATTAAAATGATTGTGAAATACAGGGCTGCAATTTGGTATGCTTGTTTGTCTTTGTGTCTATGGTGTAATAATGATGATGTGATTGTGATGCTGTAATTCTGAGTGTTTTGTGTGCTGCAGAACAGGAACCTGCTGTAAAACAGCAATTATGCTGAGTCAGGCTTGATTTTTAATAATCTTTTCCTGTTAAATAAATAAATCAAATCAATTTGCTGAGTGCGTTCCCTGTAAATGAACTGTGTCAGTATTTAATGTGCAACTGTTTAACCTTTTTAGCATCGCTTGGCTTTTTATTTTGCAGATCATGGAGCTGGTCAAAGGGATGCACTACCAGCTGGCATGCCAGAAGTACTTTGAGCTGACACACAATGTAAGTACAGATTTTATTTGATCGAGGGCACATTAAGTACAGCTGTGTGTGTGTGTGTGTGTGTGTGTTGCGGGGCGCAGTGGTACATCTCATGCACGGAGGCTCAGGAGAGACCCAGAACTGTCATTGCATCCATCATTAGCTGGCTGTCTTTGCCACTTAGTTTTTATAGCTTTATTATGGCTTTCCAACCTATTTTGTTCCCTGTGGATATTTGGATAATTTAATCTGTTTTACTTTAGATGTCTGAGTCATCCTCCCCAAAATTAGCACGAGTTTAACCTCACAACATATCAACTTAAGCCTGCAGATTCAGGCCTTTCAGGTCAGGGTGACACAGGCACATATGCAAATGTTTAAAGAGATCATTTTTAGCACTTTCTGGTTTAGGAGTGCTTCTTAAAATATCACTTTGTTTACTCAGAGATGATGTAGAGTGTCGGCTTAAGCTTGAAAAATTGTTCTGATCTGTAAAATGTTGAACTTTTAGTAGATTTAATAATATGTGATATTCTAAAGAAGTAACATTGTGCACACGCAAATGTAGAAGATAAATTGGTTTATTAAAAATAAACTGAGCCTAGCAGCTTGAGCGAATATTAAAACAGTAAAACAAAGCAGTTTAATTTGATTTTGTAAACGCTGGCAACTCTTTTGCATTTTCTGGATTGAACAAAAGTGTATTTGATTTGTAAACAGAATAAACAAAAAAATATCTACTTTGTAAAGATGGATGCAGGTCCACTGTATTTTCTAGAATAGAATCATATTAATCTAAACATTTTAGAGATAGAGATAGAGACAGATATTTGCACAAGCTTATTCTGTGGATCAATTTTTACCCCTAGCTACTTCACTGGCTATAAGCTAATTTTAATAAAGAGTTTGTGTGTTACTTGTTTGCTTACTGCCTTAACATGGGCTTTAATTTACTCCATGCAGGCGATCAATTAAAAAAAAATACAATATGATCTGCAGTCATCTGTAAAATGAGTTCATGTGCCTCGCAGAAAAATCTACACGCACCATATTCAGATTTTTTTTAACACTACTGCTGAGAAAATCTGTGATTTTTGCTATTTTTAAGTTTTTAAATCTAAATTAGAACAAAAATCAACACCAGTTTCACTCCATACTTCACTAGAAGGCAAAATTAGTAAAATAAACAAACCATACTTTAAATGATTTGTTTCACCATTTATCTTTATATAATCCACCTGTAAAATGAGATATACCTTCTTAGTGTCATCAGTTAGTTAACATTTTACAAATGATTGATCTTTTTATGTATTGAAAGAACATTTCCTCTTATAATTCGTCCTCTAAATATCCAGTGACTTAGTGTTAATGTGTCTGAAAGTCTTTAGTCTGAAGAAATCTGTAAACCATTACTCATCGCTGCCAATGAGGGAGATGTTAAATGATCATTTTATGAGAGGTGACTTACATTGATTCAGTCAATCAACCTGACACTTCTCCGACAACTGCTAGTTATTATCCTCTCGTGACCTTCCTCTTCTGTGCTTTCTCATCTTTTTCTGGGCAGGTTGAGGACACATCTTTCTCGCTCAGTCACCCCAATCAGTACTTCTTAGAAAGCCAGAAGCTTTTGGGAGGAGGCAAGGACATAAAGCGAGACGTTGACACTCAACAAAAGTCTCAGGAAAACTCTGCRGCCAGAGGGTCTTCTGCTGCTCGAGAGCCGGCAGCAAACACTTCTGAACATCTTGACGATGCGGAAAATCTGGAGATGTTCTTTCAAGATGCCTGATTTCTGTGTTAATCTTCACGGAAATAAATGTTCAGTGTTGGGCCTGGTTCACCTTTTTTTATAAATTGCTTAGAAACTGTGTGATATATCAGAAATAAAGTAACAAATGAAGAARTCCTGGGTCATTGGAGATTATTTTGACAATGCTGAGTTGACATTTACACTACCATCACTAATTTCAGACACACATCAGGATTTTTCCGCCTTTGCAGTGCGCCCTCTGGTGGAGAAGCTTTATTTGGGGGAGACACGTGTGGGGGGCTTGTTTTGCTGCAGAGCTGCGGAGGACGAGCAGCGGAAGTTTCCGGTTCTGTGTCACAGAAAAAACAACGGGACTGGAGCAGACGCCCATTCTTAAATTGGCAAGATGGTTTTATCAGCACATGAAAAATTACTGTAAATAGTAAAAAAAACCAACTAAAGTCCATGTCTTCCTTACATAGCCGCGGTTAACAAGTAAGAAACGTTTTTGTTTTTTGTCTCCTGATTCTGGTGAGTAAACAATTATGCACGACTTAGAACATGAGGGAGAAGGAATCTTTCAGTTTTATATGAGGAAATGTTGAGACTTAATGTGGTTGTACATTTAAAAAGTCAGTCAAAATTTACTTTTGTGTATTATAATAATACATAAACTTATACATTTTAGTACACAACACTCCTAAAACACAGGAACTATTTAAAAGAAGCATTTTTGCAAAAATGTTACCCATTGAAATACATGATTTTTCAACATACATTTAGCAAACAATTTTATTTTTCTAAGCGTTTTAGCTGCTGTCTTGCTTACAGTTTTGCTAATTAGCCTTTTGCGCATGTTTTGCTACATTTAGCTTTACACAATACGCTTTTAGCTATGGTTTTTACCACATTTTGCTTTTGGCTATTTTGATGGCTTTGACCACTGTTCCATTTTTGGTTTTTATCAAGGTTTTGCTAATTTTGCAACCGTTTTGCTCTTAGTTTCAGCTACAGTTTTAGGCATCTTCTTCTGCTTGTTTTAGCTTAAAATACATTTTCTTTAGTTTTTAATCTTCAGCATTCACCAGTGATCATCTTTTTACTTCTATAATATTGGTTGTTTAGTTTATATTCATTTGTTTACTCTGGTCTGAACTCAGATGGCCGTTGTCTCGGTGCACAGTTTTGGCCAGGGGTGTTGAGTGGAGCATTTCCCTTCTGTCTCAGAAACTGTCATTGTTCCTGCTGGCAGCAGCACGGATGAACGCTGACAGGAGGATGGATGAAAAAATAAACTCTTTTCTACAGTTGTATTACTCCATCTTGGAATATCGCCTCATGGTGCACAGTGCAATTTATTCAAAGCATACACGGTCAAGAGATACTTCCGCAATTCTCTCCAGAGCCTGCCGACTTAATAACTTGCAAATAAATATATATTTAAAAAAAAAGTAGCTGTCTGAAAGTTCAAAAGCCTTTACAGTTCTGGCATACAGCAACACTCTTCTAATTTTAACTTTAGAGCAATGCAATCTGCATTCTTGTTTTAAATGTTTGCTTAGATTCATTGAAATGCTTCTGGACCTCATTTTAAGTTGGACGATAATGTTTTTTCTCTGCCTCTGTGTTTGTTTCTCAGCAAAATGCAATTTTAGTCTAAAACTCCAATATGAAAGACTGTAGGTAATATGTATTCTGAAAGAAAACTAAGCCTTTAATATTTTAAGATATTTTCTCCAAGGTAACATTAAATTCAGTGTTGCCACTGATACCAAATAAACACATTTGGTCCATGTTCCACCAACACTGGAGCGTCAGAGCTGCTCATATCTGGAATTAGATCCAGCCATGGTGCTTGACATGGGAAGGATTTATTCAGTATAATAAGGCGACTGGATAACAGTCTGCAGGCAGGCTGCTGTCAGCAGCAGACCCCTGATGTTCAATATTTGGCAGAGCATGACTACATTTGACACAGCTGGCCTCTTTGTGAGACTCTAAAACCTTCGGAAGAAGATGAAAAATCATTAATCACAAACTTGGTTGTATAAGTTGTCTGATTTGTGCTTTTCCTGTGTACATTACTCAGATCAGAGGAGCTATAAGGACTGTAGATGGAGGTGGTTTACAGCTTCGCTTGTATAATTGGGCATAGCAAGACCTGCCAGGTTGAAGGAAAAAAAAAAATATATATATAGTAGCAACAATTTTCACATAAATGTGGGTTCATTTTGCCTCATCCAAAAAGGAAAACAAAAGGCATACCAGGCTTTTAATTTAATCAATGTAATTGAAAACATAATAAAAAAAAATACTGGAGAGATGATATGACTAGATCTCTGATATATTTGGCTGTCTTCATATTGTTAAAAAGAAAAATATTTGACTTCTGTTGGAAAGGAATAAATCTCTTAAGCTCAAATTTAACTGTTAAATGTTGCTCTAAGATGTGAAGGGAGGCAACACGAATCAAAAGGTTATTCACTAATGATTCCTCTGACTTCTACTTTTCTGTTCAATGCATGATGTTTCTCTTTGTCTTCATCCTAACGTAATTTCACCCAAGGGAGACCAAATTTGATGTAATGTGAGTTATGCTTTGCCAGAGGCAGCATTGGTTCATTCTGTGATTTGTTTGCATTTGACTTGTTTATTTTTAGGAATTAGATAGCATCCATTATTGCACAGTTGTGTTGCACGTTTCACCCTTAAGCTGTGCAAAAAAAAAGGAGCACGGAGTGTTTGATAACTGTCTCGTTCCTTGATGAAGAGCTTATAAAACTTATGTTGTTTTGTGGAAATATTTGCTTTAGAGTGGGAGGATTAACTGGATAATTTAGGCCCTTTTTTTTGTCAAACTGGATGTACTGCAACCACCCTGTTCATCTTCATTACACTGCCAGAAAAAATGCAGCTTTTTCTGTTTCAAGGTAAAACAGGTTTGAGCAGATTTGAAGTAAAGCTTGATGAAGTTGAAGTTACCATAGTAACAACATTTATTTTAGACATGGTGGAGTCTGGAGTTATGATTTAAAAAAAGAAGAAGCTTGGAGTCATTCTCAGTGATTTTTTGTTGCTTTAATTTTGTTGAAAAGTTACAAAAAATTTTAAACAGACAAGCTTCAAACAGTTTCAAATGATGTAAATTTAGATACCAGTCCATCGCGATAATATCACATAATTGAACATAAAGAAACACATTTATTTTGAAAGGAAGCAACAAATACATATTTTAAACTTTTATTTAACCAAAGAAAATGCCATTGAGATCACAGATCTCTTTTGCAAGAGAGGCCCGGGTCTGAAGGTGACCTACAGGTTTTTGGTCCCACGCAAGCATGAGAACTTTCAAACTCCCCCTGGTCTGAACCGAGGATCAAACCCAGGACTTTCTCACTGTGAGGCATCAGTACCAACCACTGAGCTGTCTATATATATACACTCACCGGCCACTTTATTAGGTACACCTGTCCAACTGCTCGTTAACACTTAATTTCTAATCAGCCAATCACATGG